TGTTGCATCCACCTGTTGTGAGCTGAGGAGGTGTAGAGCTGCATCTTATTATATGTAAAATACTTCTTCATTGCAGTAGCAACTATATTATCCATATAAATGTATTTCATTATGTCATATTTTAATGTTCTGATATATTTCATTTCTCCATTGCATATATTTTCATTATATAAATAAATACTAGGTTGGGAGGGAGCATCAGGGTATCATTCAAACTGAAGCTGGACGATGGTATGATTGACAGCCGAAGTCTAGGAGGGAATAAACACTATCATTTTCTTTATCCTACCGATTCGATTATGGTGGTGTGAATTCTACTCCAACAGTTTCAGGGCGATTGACGCGCCCTTCTTAACAAACCATCCAGTAGGAAGCTTAATAAGTATTGCGAATTGTGTTATTCGATTTGTTGGAGCGTATCGTTGGAAGGAGATTCTTAAATTCCCGTGGATTTCGCGTAAGTGTCTCTGCTTACGGGTCCACCCCTCCGTTTTTGGCCTTTCATACAGCGATATAGTGAATTCAGATCGGTAGCTCAAATTGATCTTGCTATTAAGTGGAGCTGCATACAAGACAAGTCTTGAAAGGATGGTGGCTACCTTACATACATACATACATACATCCGATGGATTGTCCCCGGGACGGCCATTCTGGAGTAGGTTCCCGTAGGGCCTTAGATTATAACCTAAGTATTCCAATATTATGACTGATCGATATGATAGATATTTTAAGGTATGTACCAGCAGACGAGTGGACATGGATCGAGTGGAGTGGAGATGACTTCTTCGGACAGCAGAGGACAACAAGGCCTTAGCCAAATTGGTAAGGTAAGTAACCAGCAGACGATATAGGAAAGAAAGAAAACAGATGTGGTCATACACATAATATGCGCGTAAATATGACGAACTAAGGTTCAATAAACTAAAATTTAATGTTATGGTAAAAAAGATACATTAATCAATTCCAATATCATCCCATGACGGCGTCGGTGGTTGAGTGGAGTGGTATGCTTTCTCATCCCAGTGTGTTGGGATTTATCTGAGGTACACTCTAAAAAATCTTCACGTTAATGCTACGTGAAAAATCACGTAACCTCTTTAACATAAAATGATAAAATTTACGTGATTTTCATGTTCGTTGATGCCAAGGGAATTTCACGTAAAAAGTAAGTGATATTCATGTACACTCTACAACATATACACGTCCAATCTACGTGAAAAATCACGCAGCTCATTCGAATGCTTCAACTTTCATGTTTACATAATGGTAGTAAAATTGATAAATATATCATGTCATGTTCACTGGACCTGATGATGAATGTGACAACATTTTCACATCAAACTTCTATGTGCGGTTGTGTGATTGTGGTGTGCTTACTTAAAATGAGTTTACGTGATTTACATGTATGAAAAAGTGAAACAATATGGCGGCATCGATTTTATTAGTGGAAGAAGTGATTCAGCATACTGCAACTGTTTGAAGGTATTTTTATATTATTTCGCTTTATTTGAAATCCGTCATACACTGCTAATTAAATTTATTTCGATTTCAGAGGCTGGATTACAAGATACAATTTACGGGGATTTTCCAAAGGTCAATTTAGCCCGACTCGGCAGTAAACAGTGCAAATGGATATTGCATCTGAATCGAGATCTGAATTGTCATGATCAATTAAGTGTTGGAAAAGCTAGTGGAAAAGCGAAATGGTTAGTATTAACGTTTCAATGACATAATTGACGTATTAATAAAAAAATGCTAACAATGTTTAAATATTCTTTCTTGCAAAAAAAAAAATGGAAAACAGTATTTGTTAGATCCGGTAAACATCACTTCAAAATCACGTCAACATTACGTGCAAATCCATCGTAATTATAGTAGAAACCACGGAACGTAAACGTAAGATGAATAGTATTTTCCAGTAAATATCATTTCAAAATCACGTAAACATTACGTGGTAACCACTTCCATCTTAAGTGGAAATCACGTTATATTTACCTTACTGTTCACGTTGACCTCTGAACGGGAATATTTTTGGCTAGCTGGTATTAACGTAAATGTTACGTGAAAAGTAGTATGAACGAAAGCTACCAATGTTTTCACGTAGATCGGACGTGCATATTTTTTGGAGTGTAAAAAATCCCTGGTCACGTCTTCTATCGGAGGGCGGAGGGCATCAGAAAATCCCGATGGCGCCGGGGATTGAACCCAGGCCCTTTGGAGTCAGAGGCAGTCACGCTTACCACTAAACCACCGGCACCGCTGCGGTAGGTATCTATAGCCCATTTTACGAGATGACAGCAGCCAGTTTGCTTGACAGATATGATGATAATATTCTCGCTAATAAAGATAGCCTAACTTGTCTCCTGTAAAAATTGATAAATTAATTGAAAAATCAGCTGGTCAGAAACGTCTCGTAATTGGTCTATTCTTATTAACTTTTACAATTTAATATACTAATTGTATATTGTATATAGGGGAAATGACGGCTTCGGCATGCCAGACTATTTTCGGCAACCCAAATTGAAACACTATTTTCACTGGATTTTCTTACGAAAACACTTCGCTGAATGCATGCAAACGATTCTTTATGCTTTCAGCTTCAATTTGACTATATTTTTACCACTGAGAAAAAGCAATCTAGCAAGGTTTTCTTGAAATGCAACACACGCACTACAAATTGTAGCTGATTTCGAGTTGCCGATAATAGAACAGCAGATTTACATGCAGTTCAAATGGAACGGTTGCCGAAGAAAAACTGGTTGCCTACAATACTCGCTCTCACTAGAGAAGATTGGAGCTTTGTAAAAGCGTTTCAAAACAGTTTTTGACAATTCTTTCGACTAAAATTGTTAGAGCAGCTGGCAGCAAAAGATTGTAAACAAACCAATACTGCATATGTGTGCGTTCCTTAGAGAAAAAGGCTATAGAAAAAAGGTCGCTGCTTAGGTTGCCGAGAATACGTAAATTCCCCTACGTAAAATGAAAAAAATCAAATTGCTCCAGCTCAACCAGATTTTACCCAATTTTGATGAAACATATTTCATCCGAACATAAATTTATTCAAGTTGATAAATAAATATGGACAGTTCCGATATCATCTGCTATTTCACATTTTGGATAAAATCGCGTGGAGTATCATATCAAATAATGGGCATTAGACTGATGCAAAACATGAAATTTTATTGTAATTTCTAAGGACCTCATTCCAAGGGAGTTCTGGAGAAATAAATCTCTGAGAAAAAGATCAAGGTAGTTCTAAGGACTTTTCAATTTCATTTTTTTTAAACAAACTACCCTTTCAATAGATAATCAAGTTTAACAATTTTGTCGAAGGTGGGAACTTACGTATGGCAAGGATCAGGGTATCAAGAAACGGAGAGCGAGCAATAACATAAACTATGTCGCTTGCGACGATTGTCTCTCTGCGACACAACATGTTCTAATCATGGCATCCAATAACAAACAATATCCCCCAAGCTTGCGTGTATCATCAACCGTGAATGTTGCTGACAAAAATGACAAACTACATTGTTTGGATGCATGTGGTTAATGATCACGTCGTTTTTCCTATCATAATTTATAATAACAAAACCATGCTGGACGCGGCTGGGTTCGATTCCCGATCCGGTCTAGGAATATTTCGGGTTGATAAATTTCTCGACTAACCTGGGCATAGAGTATGATTGTACTAGTTACAAAATTATACTAATGCAAAAATGGTACGGTAAACGCTTCTATACTGCCCATAACCGCATATCAGTCCCATCTTTGCTTGATTTTCGATCCATATAGGAGTAATATGCAATTATGGGTATAATAGTTGCCGTACGTCAGAAGCCTTAGGTTCCAATAGTTGCTTATGCAGTCCACGTACCGCAACTATAGGAGCGTTTACCATAAAGGCTAAGAAAGCTTTCAATTAACAATTGTGGAAGTGCACTAAGTTAAGGACTGGATCGCATCGCCAAAGAATAAACCTGCTATTGATGGACTCCTAACAAAATTTCAACAAATTAAGAACCACTTTGTTATTGCTATGCTAGCTGAACCAATCTGAGTTTTGTAGCGCCTTCGCCATCGATAAGAAATGAAAATATAAGGAGCTTCCACGATCTGATCATTAGTACAACACGCAGCGGTAGAAGGAATGAATGCATCTTTATGGCGTCACATGTTGATTTCCATAAGATCATGACCGCGTGCGAACGCATCTGTGCGACAAAAACAGCTGTTGTTTAACGTTTACGTTTCGCATGGATTTTTAAAAACACTATCGTGCAAGCCCTTGTTCAAAGCTGGAAGTAATCGAATTTCTGGGCCTAGGGTTGTTAACAACCCAGGTGCAACTGTTTGATTGTAGAGTAACAAATTGATTGCACTACCCAAGTTAGCTATTCACGAATCGAAGGATGACCGGGGTGTACATTGAGGCGTTGCAGCGTGGTCCGTTCAAGAGCAACTGCAGGGAAACAGATAAGAATGTTCTTGGCCTTCAAAACATCGAGCGTGTTGATTCGATTAACTCTGTGCTTGTGTATGAATTACGATGTGCAGAGACGATTGTTCGTGTGTGTGTGTGTGTTGACCCGTCGTATGGCATGACTGGTCGCTTATTTTTGATGAATGAATCGATCTTCTGACCGGCCTGGACGATTCTATCAAATTACTGCAAAGTGTTTCTTTTAAAAGTATGATAGAATTGCATAATACTCAATACCAGATAAGCGCAGTGATCAATGTTTATGTAGCGATTATATAAATTAACAGTGTATACATGTAGTCAAAAGCCGTCCCTCGGGTTCTTTGAACTTTCAACTTTAGCTGAGGATAGTGTTCAGTCCCTTTGTTGGGGTCTAGAAAAGAACTTATTTTGGCTTGAAGAATCGTTTGAGGTTATAGGATATTGATTTTTCTCCGCCAGACAACCGACACTGACCTTTCTTGACACGCAGGCACATTCTTATGCAGCCAAAAATAGAAATCCGGCAAAAATCATTTACCTCGAAAATTTTTACGAGCAGCTGCACATACATCCGCCGGACGCCTAAGGACTTCCCCATCGAGGCCAGGAAGATGATGAAAAACATCAACGAAAGAATCGGTGTCAATGTAAGCATTGACAGGAATGCACCGATTGAAGCCAGCAGGACCATTCTGTTCACCTACCACCTTTGTAAAGGTGTTACCAGACAGAAAGATCTTATTTATCAGTTCACCAAGATTTGAGCTTTAGCGTCACTAGATCCACTAATCCAATTTTATTCTCCGAATTGATCACTTAATACCCATCACTAGCCACTCGCGATTCGTATACTCCATGAATTCGGTTTGATTTTATTCTTCTATCCAATTAAACGGTCCGCGGCAGTATTTATAAATTCCCGACATGTAGCCAACAAACGAAGCGATCCACTAGCCACAAGCGCAAACAACAAATTGACAGCTTTTTGCGTTGCTGTTGTTGTGCTTCAATGATTTTTATATAAGGTTCGGGCCAACAGGCAGCTTACTGGTGTTAGAAGCAAAAATATTGTAAACATTGCTGAGCACTCAAGTGAAGACGTCACTCTACCATAGCATTCCATACTGCAAACAGTGTGATTTACGTCACTGCCAACAGCTGTTTCGTGTAAAATCTAAGAGGAAGAGGTGACAATTGGCTTCTTCCTCTTTTATTTCTATCTCTATCTCTATCTTTATCTATCTCTATCTCTATCTTACGCACATGAAATCGGCCAATCAGGAGCTGGTTCACGTTTGACAGAAAAGTGGTTCATTTTCGCCCCCGTATTGTCACCTCTTCTCTTTGTGTAAAATGATAAACATTGCAATGAAATACGAAACCACTAAACATTCCACTAACACCAATAGCCTATTGGCTCGGCCCTTAATATTAAGGACATTGGCTCTGCTCACCTGACAGCGTAGCAGCAATCAGGGAAACGGGTCCATCAACAGTAAATTTGATGATGCATGTAAGAAATTCAAATCAAGTACACTCAAAAAATATTTAAATCTAAATAGTATGAAAGTTACGCTAAATAGCAACTCAACACTCAAAAATATTAGAAAACGAATATAGATTAAATTTTATGCATTTTATGCTTTTTATAAAGGGAGAGAATGCAAACTTAGTATAAAAATGGTTTATGCGTGCCATAGTATAAAATCGAAATATACTCACAATGCATAGATACGGTTTATTCAAGAGAATGTATGTGTAGAATAGAAATACTCAGAGGTAGGCGGAGAAAACAAAATACAATTCGGCAGCAGGGATTTGTACCTAAATTATCTTGCAACCCTTGCTAGAAGCGAACATGTCACATGACTTTTATTTTTGATTCAATACGTGCAAAATAATAATTGATTGCATCGCAATATTTTGTACATGTCTTCCCGCATAAACGCGAACCATCACATGACCTTACCGATAATGGTTATAAATTGTTTATAATCCCTGCTAAACTTCAACTGAAATGGTTATGGAACTTTACATGAACGTTTGTGTGATAAAGTTTTAACCTTATGTATTATGGTTTTGTCGAAGCGGACCTTACAAATAATGGGTTGTTAAGAACCATTACCATTCCAAATTCTTGTTTCTCCATACATTTTCGGAAAGAAAACTATACTAAAACCTTTTAACTTATGGTTTGATAACATTAATGGTAATGGTTATGGTAACCAGTAAGGTCCATGAATGGTTTTGTAACATCGATCAACTTTATGTGGAATATATCGCGAATTGGTTGCCTGTAAATTACTGATTACCAATTCACGATATATTTCACGTAAAGTTGAGTGATAATACAAAACCATTAATAGACCTTACTGACTACCATAACCATAACCATTAATGTTCTCAAACCATAAGTAAAAACGTTCTAATATAGTTCTCTTTCCGAAAATGTATGGAGAAAACAAGAATTTGGAATGGTAATGGTACTTAACAACCCATTATTTGTAAGGTCCGCTTCCAAAAAACCATAATACATAAGGATAAAACTTTATCACACAAACGTTCATGTAAAGTTCCGTAACCATTTCAGTTGAAGTTTAGCAGGGATTATAAACAATTTATAACCATTATCGGTAAGGTCAATTTATGGTTCGCGCTTATGCGGGTTGGTGCCATTATTCAACCAACGAAGATCAATTAATCAGTAGAGTTAGAATATTGTTTTTGATTCCAAAAACTAGTTGAATTTTAGAAGCACAAAAAGCATAAAAGTGATTGAATTTCTGTTCGATTGCAATACTCTTAAATTTATTCTAGTAAGAATAAGAAATCCTCGGAAAAATTCTAATGGGAATGTTCGATTGGCTCAGATTTAAACAGTTCATTTGGCTCAACACATTCTCTCCGCCCATCTCTCCCTCTGAGTATTTCTAGTCCAGAAGAGCAATTTTCCGATAAAAACTAAAAAGTGCACAGAAATTAATAAGTTGAAACAAGTTCATATAATCAGAACAGTTTTTAATTGGATATTATCGGTACAGTTGAAAACCGGAAAACCCCACAGGCGACAATCGATTTTACTCTTGTGCTGTACGTTAAACATATTGTCGTTCATAGTGCGCTGTATACACTTAAAATCAAAATCTGTCCTCGGCGAAATATATTGTCGTAACAGTTCAGTAAACTAAACATTTCCCGATGTTTCGTTGAACATAATCATAGTTTACCGAAATTTTTATCTGGTTTAGCAAAATTTCGGTAAAAACAATCGTTTACCAAGCCTCGTCAATAGTAATCACTAATTGGAAAAATCTTAATTTGCCGAAAACAGCAAAATAATTTCACTAACATACGGCATTCACATATAACTTTTCCAAAAATACTTAAAATATCTGTCAAAACGAAGACGGATACATTTCAAACTTTCGTTTTGCCGAGAATACGTTAAATACCTATAGGATGCTGCACGCTGACGTCACGAATGAACGCAATGAACCCGCATTTATCAGTTTGACATCCAGTGGTGGTTTGTTTACCTTTACTTGTTAGTCGATTCAAGTGAGTTTGAGGTTAAAAAAATAATAATTAAAAGATATGATATCCAACTATGTTCGTTTGAAAAATATTCCTCTCCAAAAAATCTAAAAAAACATTTAATATTTTTTTTTCTAAGTCTCGATCATTATTACAAATAAAGGGAAAAAATACAAAAAATTAAAACTGCTTGGACTCACAATAATGTTTCCGAAGGCTTGGCAAAATTTGACAGATGTGGTAAATTTCGCTTTGCCGATTTCACGGTAATTGAATGTTTTATCAAAATGTTTGCCAAAAGCTCGGCTGTTGGATTCTCGGCACTTTTTTGCTGGGCTCGGCTAAACAATCTAAGTGTTACAACCCAACAATCAATTTTACCTGCAGACTTGCTTATACAGTCAAAAATTAGTTGTATAAGCCATTTTTCGGCTGTATAAACTAATCTGATGCTAAAATTGTTAGATGGGAACGATGCGCTTTCCTTAGCCTACTCTTCATGTTTAACGTACAGAACGAGCACGGCGAATGAGAACGACCCAAATTCGAGTTTAGTTCACTCATAATCGCCAAAAGTGCAGGAACTCAGCGATGAGTAAATTTGTCTCATGGTTTCCTGTGGAAAACCTAAAAAATCTGCCGGAAAATGAGGAAATTGACGAAAATTTTATTCAGTCTCGGAGTAGTACCAATAGATTGAGTGAATCCAATCTTTACTTTTCTCAAATTCGGGAATTTTTCCCTGGAAAAACCTGGGAAAACATGAGATAAATTTACTCATCACTGAGTTCCTGCAGTTTATGTGATTTATGAGTTGACTAAACTCAAATTTGGGTCGCTCTCATTCGCCGTGAGAGTAAAATCGAATGTCGTGTATGGGGTTTTCCGGTGTCCAACTTGACCGACAATATAGAGATTGCTAAAGTATGATTGTGCCAGTGATTTGTTTTCATCGGGAAAATTTTTCGCTATGAAGTTTTTTTTTCCGATGAAAACATTTTGCGTATACGTATACGTGACGTAGTGTGCGTACGATAAACGTCAGCGCATTTTGGTGACGACTTTTATGAATGTCCTGAAATGGATATATTTAAAGTCTGGTGGAGAGAAAAACCAAAAAGCTAATGTCTTACCTGACTCATAAAAAAAGGGTAAATGGATGTAATGTCGGCCTAAATGCTCCTAATTTGGGCCCATTCATAAATTCAGCAATTGACTAAATTTTCAATAGCGACCAAAAATATCCATTAGTACCGTCTAAATGACGCGTTTATCTAGATAAAATCGATAAATAGCAGATTTTTAGCGATGGGCCCAATCTTAGATCCATAGGCCTACATTGGAGCCATTTCCCCTACGTACTGTTTGTGTAGAACATATAAGTCGGTAAAATTTTACTGGGTTTTTAAACAGCTGAGTTTTCAGTAATCAACCCAGTAGTTTTCACTTTAACTGAAAACTCCGTAAATCACAGAATCTCTGAACTATTAAAAATTATCGTTTAAGTCAGTAAAGAATGGCTGTCTACACTGAAACAAAATCTATTGTCAAAAATGCTATATTGCTGGTTTAAATTAAATACCGTCACCAATATATTTTTGCAGAAAACAATAACATTTAATTTTACTATAATTTCTATCACAATTACTATGCTTTTTGAACAAGCATAGTAGTTTTGCCAGAATCATAGTAAATTTGTTAGCATTCATAGTCAACTATACTGAATTCATAGTAGATTTAACAGTAATAAGCGTGGTTATATTGAAAATAAGTGTTTTCTGCAAAATAGTATGCCAAACTATGGTCCTTGTTTCAGTGTATATCTGTAATTAATATAAATATCTGAAATCTTTTAATTTAGGTAATGCAAATGTATCCCGTGATATTATTCTTTCGAGTGTAAAAAATGCAAAAATGAATACTTTTCTCGAGATTTTGTTTTATTATTATGACGACCTTCGTTTTTAGTTATTCCAATTTAGAGGTGCAAATATTGTAGTATAGTCGTAAACTATATCATTTTTACATTAATATCAGTGCTGTACATTTTCTGATTAAGTTAATTATTTATACTGTTTTTTTTTGTTTACTTTCCTAAACCAGCCTCATTCAGGTCAGTTATATGACATCAATACTCTTTGTTTGTCTCTGTTTCATAATATCCCTATCCGCTAATGCTATGTTTTAATACTTAAAACCTCTGCTTTTGTTTCAATCAGTCGAATACAACACTATATATAACAGAAGATGACAACGATGCATGCAATAATTTTTCTGATTTAGCTTCTTATTTTTTGAGATTTCACCAGGGATTTCACAATAATTCGTATCATGTTTTCTTTTTATTTCGTATGTGTTTCGTTCCACGATGACATGTATAATTTTAAACGATGGATGTTAGAAAGAATGATTGTTTCATAGAAGCAAGAATTGAAATGTATAATGTATAGTGCTCATGGGAAAAACAGAAGAAGTTGTATCAAGAGCAGTTTTCAGAGCGTTTTTTCTCACGTGGAGCTTTTAAACATTTTCAATGCTTGTAAATACGGTAAATAGTACTCAACATTATATCTGTTTTAATATTTTAAATATTCTGATGTCTTCGTTCATAAAATTTGTAGTTACAACTGATATGCGATACGATTATCTTCAATAAAGCTTTTGCTGGCATAGCGTAGCACTTCTAGCCGTATTTGTTTCTTCTTAAAACCCTTTGGTTAGAAATTTTGATGCTAACTAAAATGAACATATGATTGAAAAATTAAAACTCAAACATGCCATTGTGGCGGACGATAGGCTTCGTTGTGCAAGTGATTGAAACGTTTCGTGCAGTTTTAAAAAGCAATGATTTAAATATTCCCTTTTCGTGGATCTATAATCTAATAATTTCAAATAACGAATAATGTAAACTTTTAAAACATTGTAAACAGGTGTCAAACTCAACAACAATAACGATAAAACAGGAAAAACAAAATTGACTGAGGTAATTTGTGCCAATAATATTGTTGATAATAATATTGCTGATTGCATCTGAAACTGGAAAATGCAAAAAGTGTGATGAAAGTGCATGTTTCCGTCAAATCGTGTTGGTGTCTTCGGAGCACATCATGAGGAATAAGTGCACCCAAGAAACCAAGACGATTATACGGAAACTCGCACCTTTATCACACTTTTTAATAAGGAAAAAACGCGTTCATTAGTCCAGTTCGGTGTGAAATGCACAATAATTATCTGTACTTTCTATGAAAATAATCGGTAAACCAATGCAGGTAGCATACTGTGAGATTTAAGAAAGTTTGGCTTATTACTAAGATTGAAACATCTTTTTTGAACCATAGAATAGTTAGTGGGCTTACAAGCTAGCATTAATTTTTATATTTGCTTGTTAAATTTCTATATATTGCTGACAATAAATAATAAAATATGATCCTGAAACAACTGTTTAGAGTGTAATAAAGTCGTATAAACTATAGTCAATGTTGGTGGGGTACAACTAATGAGTTGTGTCAAGTGATATACGTTTCAGTCAAAGCGAACGGACAACCTGTGTACTGTAGACCCATGGAATTGAACAATTCGTCTTTTCGATATGAGTGAATATTTAGCGATTGATTAGAAAATGTGCAAGTAAAGTTGCACTCGGTTCGCTATAAAAAATGTTTTTCGGAAATTTTTTTTATTTATTTATTTATGGGAGCTAAGTTCCAGTTATAAATTATAGTCCAGACAGCAAATATGGAGGACGAATTTTCAGTGCATTGGATAGGGTAAATGATGGCTTCGGCACCCATGGACTGTTTTTGGCAACCAAAATATAAATGTTAATTTCCCTGTATTTTTTATAAAAACACTTCGCTGAATATATTTAAACGATTCCATAACATTTTTCGATTGTGCAAAACTAATATGCCAGGTTTTTCTTTAAATGAAATATACGCACCACAAAATGAGCTGCCGATAATAGAACAGCTGGTTAACAGGAAGTTGGCGACAATAGTCACACTCACCTGAGGCGTTTGGTAACGTTGTAAAAACGTTTTCTAGCTGTATGGTACAATTCTGTCGATTGGAATGAATAGAATAGCAAGCAGCAGATAAATGTAAACAAACAATCACGTCACATGTGTGCGTGATCCTGAGAAATTTCTAATATAATTTCAGAAGCTGCTTAGATTGGCAAGAATACGTAAATTCTCCTATGTCATACCCCTTAAGAACCCAAAGAAGCGAGAATCAGACGCTTCACCAAAATTACTTGTTCCTTAGGTATTAGAAGTGATTACCAATCAAGGTTAAGCATGAGAATATAGGGCTAGTTAAGATGAAACTTCGACGATGCCTTATTGCAGCTTAGTTTGCACTTTTAAATGCTTTAAGTTCAGCTCGTTCAAAAACTTTGTGATGTAGGTCTTCTAGTAATTGAAATGTGAATTCCATTTTTTTCCGCGATAGCCCTGCATGTGGTTGCATACTTACGCGGATTTATTATCCAATAAGCAGTAAATATTCTGTAGAGCCGTCAGTCACGATGACTGTAACGTACATCCAATCGTTTTTCTTATGTTAGTGTAGTGTTTGCATGTATGCTGACAGTTTAACTATGAAAACCACGTATTAAATAATGATCTGACCTAACCTATCACGTGGGCTACTCAAACTGGTTTATTTAGTATTGATTGCCACCGTAACCGTTATTTTGAGGGGGAGCAGCGAATGGATTACGGGGAGCTCCACCAGGAACGTCAAGAGCCCCTCCAGTAGTTTGATAGGTTCCATAGCCGTTATCGCCATTCTGAGCCCCAATCTCGTTGAGACGCGTGCTAGATAGTGCTCTTGGAATTGGATTACTTGGGACACCATGTGGGGCAAGATGGGCAGTCTCCTCTGCTACCTGTAAATGAATTTTGGATAGACCAGATGAGATGACATAGATCGGCATTATTGACTGAAGTGGTACCTGATGCGGATCTTCTGTGGTAGGAATTTCCGAAATGAACCCTTGTTCTTTTCGGTAAAAGTTGATGAACACAAATCCTGCTAGCACCAGAATACAGGTTATACCATATCCACGGAATGTAGCTGTCGTTCCAAAGTAGTTGACGAACATTCCTCCAATCACAGCACCACAACCTCTGCCCAAACCATGATGCAGACCTTGCAGAACACCTGTTACAGATCAAATAAATCCACTTAATATAATAAATATAGAGTCAAACGTCGCTCAGAATACCTTGTGCTGAAGACCTCAGATGTTGTGGAGTATTATGGGCAATGTAGGAGCAACAGGCAGCCCAGACAGCCGCATGAGTGATTCCTACGAATAAGTTAAATGTTATGAATTTGAAGAGAACAATTTATAAATTTTGGCATAAATACCCTGCATAAATTCAAATGGAAGAACCCACCACGGATTTTTCAAGTACGAGATGTACAAGAATCTTAGGATGTTACCAACTAAACCAAGACAGAGAACCTGTAAACAAAGTACACGAATAAAAGGAAATACATCAATTTTCACATCCGTTTTAAGTTGTTCTCGCTGATACGGTCCCATTTGTAGCATCCAGACTTGTAAATTTCTGATTTGTTTTAATTAAATTAGCATGTCATCTTTGGAAAGTTATATTTTTTTTCAGTGTTCACTCGGCTGTAGACAAAAGCAGGCCACTCTCGATGTGAGTCACGCGATCGTCTGTTTTCTCGGCAGCAACCATTGTGTGGTCCTCCTCATTGTTCTTCATCAGCAGTTCTTTCGGTCGATGCGTCGTCGACTTTGGAAAGCAACCGTTTCGTGATGAGTGTGTGAGTGTTGACCACGTTTTGCGTCCATTGCCGCAATGGAAGCGCTTTGCCCCACGATGGCGTAGCTGCCATACAATGAAACCACTGAAAGCGGCTCCAGTTCTGATGGAGGATGCTTTTTGGATAGCGGAAGATAAAGTGATTATTGTGTTGTACATTTTGACTATAGTTTTAAGATGTATTGTATAGTGACCAAGAATCCTCGGCTCTGTAAAGTTAATTCAGTTGAGCCTTATCAAATAAATTAATGAACAAAAAAAAATATATTTTTTTTTATACATGGATATTGAACTTTCATTTTGAGCAGTTCCAAATGACGTATCGATCAGATTCGACCTTTTCCGATTTTCATGAAACTTTGCATAATTTTACTTAGTTGGAGATGCTTAACGACAAATATCAGACTTAAAGTGGAAATTTTTATACGATATAGTATAGAGTTGATAGTTTTTTTTTTTTTTTTTTTATATCTTTATTAAGGAGACTTTCAGCCGTTGGCTGGCTCGTCTCCGAAAAGTTGATAGTTCCGTTAGAGCACGGCAGTGTGAAAATTGTATATAGAGAGTAGAAAGCGATCAAACGGCTATTTTGAGGAAGGCACGAATCGGGTTAATCATCTCCTTTATCAAGACTTTTGGAAAATTGGAGTGAATATTTGTGGCCCACCCTTTTACCTAGCACTTCAAATACCGTGATGGTCTTACCCTACTTAAGTAACGGTTTGATTATCAACATATTATTGATCGCGCAAAAATGATAATGAGCTAGTGAGTTAATAACAATTTAAAAAATTATTTTTCTCAAAGACACCACTTTAGATTGCAAAAAAACTCTCATCGATGATTTCCTTTTATTATTTCGCACAAAACGACGAGAGCTTCTTCCAATCTGAAGTGATGTTTCAGAGAAAACTAATTTTTAAATTTAAAACCTTCAAAAAATATCATCACGAACGATCCTTGAGTGTGTTTTATTTATTTTCATGGCATTTGACAGTTCATTGGGCCAAATGTGTCTCAAAATGTTCAAAATAATGAAAATAAGATCCACTGATGCCAGCCCGCGATCCACCGGTGGGTAGCGACCCATGTAAATAAATCCACATTTGGCATTTGGCCTGAACAATTTGTTAAGATAGCAAAACAAACAACACAAATCGTACTTTATGAACACTGTGCAGCTAAAGGGAGACATTTCAGCGAGACCCTACCTTACCGTATTTGTGCTTTACCTTAACGTGACCTATTTGAGTGATAAGGCGGAAGCTGAAGAAGTAGGCAAAAATTTCCGATATGTGATTTATCACAGAAGCTACGCCAAACAGTGTGGGTGAGCCACCATAGTCCTGCAGATGCCAGAATAGGAACGTAAAGATCAACCCAATGCCGAATCCCATATACCAGGCCACGAATAGAAATGAAGCACACTTGATATTCTTGAATTGCCGCAGCACCGTTACCCATTCAGGCATCTCCCGGGTAGTTTGGGCAAACATCTTTGTCTACAAATAAAAGTGGTTTAAATCGATGTATCAATAGTTGTATGTTCAACTAAATAGTTTACCTGAGCACCAAGCGCTTGAGGCGGAGGGGCTGCACTGGCCATGCCACCACCGGAGGCAGCTAAGGCTGGCAGTTGCAGTTGTTCAGCCAACTGGTTCTGCATCTGTTCTTCCTTCGTCGGACCCATCTGTACGCTTTCCACTTGAGGCTCACGATGATCCTAATCGATGAGTTGCATCATAAGTGACAATCATGTTATTGCAAAATTTTGTTCCTACATACCGTAAAGTCGTACTTGAAGGTGATTTGTGTTGCCGAAATAAGTGCAGCACCCATCAAAACCGAGAAGGTCGCAAAACAGATAGAATAGTTTTTCTCCTGCTGTTCCGGTCCACATGGATGGTCAGGGAAAGCAGTTGAATGATCCAGTGCAATGCCAACAAAGAACATCGCTAATCCCCAGCCCAGCGATCCGAACATCCGTTGATGCCCATAACGGTCGGCATCCTCCCCTAGTATGGTAATAACCGCCGAATCGGCTAATGTAATAGCAGGTGCACTGAAGAACTCACCGATTACGACCAAAAGTAACAGCAAAAAGAAGGCTTTTTGAATATCCTGCAAGAAGCGATCAATGTATAATGATTTTCTCAGTACAATTTAGCAATCTGTATTACAGCAGTCCTATAAACGATGGATGAAAACAGAGGTGAAACCCAATCACTATGCAGCTTTTCGTTAAAGTTATTCGCATAACTGACTCCTATAGGTGACTGACCAGCTGCTGCTATCGGTCTGGCAGAACGCTCAACTCTAGAAAAGAAAGAAAGTTAATGTCTGTTGATTTATTAGGTCCATGACAGAGTTTTTGACCTACCTAACGAAATGATTCTCCGGTTCTGTGTGCTTTCCAAAGGAAACCTCTTCCAGCATGCGTTCATCAATGGAACGTTTCAGTATGCGAGGAACTTGCGGTGTGCGCAATTCAAAATCGGTTGCGTTTTTCCGTTCGATGCAGCTGGTGGCCGGCGGTTGGATGAATCCAAGAGGCAGAGTGAAGATAATCCATGCGGCTAACGAAGAGAGCAGGAGCATTTTTCCTTTTTTGCAGCTAAAATTTTAGAATACGTACAGATCAAAATTGTATGATTGTATTTTACCAATAATTATTAAGTTTTTAGAGCTATAATGCAGTAACGCACATAAGTACATATATAACAGTTGGTGATTTCGATGATAGTCATAATACTCTAGAGTGCGTAGCTCCCTCTGGGTTACAACACTGGATTTTTGAGATAATGTTTGAATGGAGATTACTCCGCAACAAATCAAGTTCTTTGTGTTCTTGACACATTGATTTCTGTTATTGAAACTACAGTAAGCATACGAAGTCGAGTATGAGAGGAAATGAGCGCTTCGTGTTTGTTTTTAGCTTCTCCACATCAGAAGCATGGTGAACGCAGTGGAAAAAGCACAGGTCTGATAATCGTAACGTTCGTGGTTCGAGTCCCAGTCGGAAACTTTCTTTTTCGACATGATTCATTTCACTCACTAATAAACTCCACATTTTTCTTACATTGGACCGCAGCTAGGTATATCACATCCTTGGTGCATGCGGTCTACACTAACATCCTCCGATGATGAATCCCCACATACACACTTACATTTTTTTGCCAAGATTGGCAAACAATGTAAGTGTGTAATTGTAAGCGAATCTTACATCGCCCTGCTGGGTGTGTGTGAAATGCTTCATTTTTTAGTAATGCAGTTAATGATTCGGTTACACACACAAATAAAATTTCTTTATTTTAATTGTCGCGTAAAATCTCCTCTCGATTAATTTTGAGCTATACTTGGCAACTGGCGTAAACAACGAATTTGCTTACAAGTTTGTATACAATACACTGAAGTCTTTTTTACACGGTTTAGTGCCACTGGGTCGCGATTTACACGGTACGTTTCTAAGGGTTTCTCGACAACGATACAACCTTTCGACCTAATTTCAATCACGTTATCCGTTTCAAGCTATAGGTAAGCATACTTAAAATAAAAATCACAATTTTTGGTGTAAATACAGAAATTTTTAAAATCTGTCTATATGAAAAAATAACAACAAAAATACATTAAAAAACAATGTAACAATAAGACGAAAATTATTGTCTTAACAATAATTTATATTGTTACGTCTACAATAAATTTACCTTGATTTATGTTGTACAAAACAGTAAATTTCATGGTAAATGGAAAAATTACAATAAAAAAGGGGGGTTTTTAAGTATCTTAACAATGAAATTTTCGTGATTTCCCCATATATTTTGACGTAGGACTACGTCTTTGATTTCTATATGGGGGTACACTTTGTGAAAACCGAAAATGGAACATGTAACAAAATAAGAAAGATTTTGAACGTTAATAACTCAGCTGCCCTTGGTCCAATTTCAATAATTTTATCACCAATCGATCAGAAATATGGCTACGCATCGATAATTATGTTGATTTTCAACAAGAAACTATTGAAAAACTGGTAAATGTCCAGCATTGTCCAAAAGCGTCGAATTAACTAACAAATCCACCAATTACCTACATGCATATGCTGCTTCCCCAGCACAGTCGTCAGAGAGAAGTAAGTAGACGAAACAAGTCAAAGTGGCATTTGCCTCCGATCCTCGGGCGCGTGCGAATAGGGAGGATGGAATTGCGTAATATTTTGCACACTCATCGCCATATTCAGAACCAAACGCAAATTCTTCAAGATAACCACCATCCGTCGTCTGGCTCACCGTGGCGTTATCTGACGTATTTCCTGTTTGATTTACGAGGTGTGCTGAAGGTGTTCCTGAAAAATGAGTTCCGTGATGCTGTCACCTACACTAAACACGCTAAGCGTAAGCGGCCATGGATGTCATCTACGTTTTGAAGTGACAGAGACGCACTCTGTTTGGTTTCGGAGGTTAAATCATCACCAACTTTGGCAACAAAACGGCTTATTACAGTAAAGAGTAGGAATAGAATTCATCTGCCTGTTTGTCCATATTCAGAACACAAAATGCTCATGTAATCAAACTGGAAGCAGGGGTACAAATTATTTTGATCAACTTTGAATCGCCACGGCCGGATATTTTCGACGGAAGAAGCAACAACCTAGCATCTAATTCGACGAAGACGGCAGGAAACATTTGTGAAGCCTAGTTATTTACGAAAGAGAGTGTCGATGAAGAGAATCGATCAATGTAGATAGGACCTATTGAAAAGTGACGCGAGATTTGTTTTCCATACTGAGCTTCAATGCTACCGACGCCAGGGAGGCAGCTCCCACACCTGGACCCTACCAATCGACCCATTAACTCAACCGGGGACCAACGGCTTTACTTCCCGAAGGAAGGTGTGATCAGAAATGTTATGCCTTAGAACATGCCAGTGGCGCCGACTGAGATTGGACCCATCTTTCAAGGTGATATCACGGCGAATGAGAACGACCCAAATTTGAGTTTAGTTATGTTAGAAATAAGAAATAAAGTGCAGGAACTCAGCGATGAGTAAATTTGCCTCATGTTTTCCCAGGTTTTTCCAGGGAAAAATTCCCGAATTTGAGAAAAGTAAAGATTGAATAAAATTTTGGTCAATTTCCTCATTTTCTGGCAGATTTTTTAGGTTTTCCACAGGAAACCATGAGACAAATTTACTCATCACTGAGTTCCTGCATTTTTGGCGATTATGAGCGAACTAAACTCAAATTTGGGTCGTTCTCATTCGCAGTGTACGCAAAAAGAAAAGAGTCAGTGTCGCTACATGTTAGCAAACTACTCATAATGGGAGGAGTCTTTGTAGCTTTTATACCACTTGGTTGCACATCATTCTGCTTTAACCTGAAAAGATATAAAACAGCGCTGCTGTATGGCATAGCTCATTTTCGCTTCGGACGGCCGGGTGAACAGCAATAGCAGCAGTAGGAAGGTGTTGGCTAGTACACTCCTTCACACCTAACAAGCAACAATTGACTGGTCGAGGCAAAGGAGGAAAAGGTCTGGTAAAGGAGGCTCCAAGCGTCATCGCAAAGTTCTTCGAGATAACCGCCATCGGTCGTCTGGCTCACCGTGGTGGTGTCAAACGTATCTCCAGTCTAATCTACGAGGTGTGCTGAAGGTGTTCCTGGAAAATGAGGTCCGTGATGCTGTCACCTACACTAAACACGCCAAGCGTAAGTGGCCATGGATGTCCTCTTCAACAAAATGGCCCTTTTCAGGGCCATCAAGCTTACATCAGTAAAGAATTGGAATAAATTTATCTGTGCTTGTTTGTCCATATTCAGAACCACAAGCCCCCAACGACCACACAAAATGCTCTCCAGAGTTGTAATCTTGTAACCAAACTTGGAAGCAGGGGTGCTAGTGATTTTGATTGATTCTCTTCATCAACTTTCTCTTTGAAAAAAATTACTACAAATTTGGTACGCCTACAATTCAAAAACGGAAAGAGTTTAGATAATAGATAATTGATCAATTAAAAGAACTAAATGCTCTTCACATTTATTCCGTCCACTAGCGGTCCTACGTCAAGCTTCCGTTCGTGCCTCTAGGCACAGACCCTTCTACTTTTTTTCAATAACATTATATATTATTGTTTTTTTTTTTTTTTTTTTTTTTTTTCCTTTATTTACAAGGCTTTCAGCCATTGGCTGGTTCGCCTTGGGATATATTATTGTTATTTTACTGTTGGTTGGCGAATGTATTGATTTAAAGAAATAACAGTGTTCTTTAGAGTGTATGTGTTGGCTTGACAGATCTACTTTATCGACTTTAAAAATAAATCGAAAAAATAAAACATCGCCCCGGAAGGGAAGGGGGTGGTATTGTCTGTTACGGGTGAGTGCTTTTTTTACTGGTTGTGGATTGAGATTCGATCCGGAACTTGTGAGAAATGGAAGCCAACTCCCCTGCACTCGATCTCTCTAGGTCACGTCTCCTTGGTGCACACAGAGTTTAGCTTACCGAAGTCGGTAATATTTTACTGGGTTTTTAAACAGCTGAGTTTTCAGTAATCAACTCAGTAGTTTTTTCTTTAACTGAAAACTCGGTAAATGGAAAAATCGCTGAAATGTCAAAAAATACCGTTTTAGTCAGTAAAATAATTGCTGACTTTTTCAGTACATTATTTGTTTACTTTTTTTTTGCTGAGTTTTTCAGTTCTTTTATTTCAGTATTTTATTGAATAAATATTAATGAGTAATAAATAAAATATTTCGGATTTTTTACAATTTAAGGGAGTTTGTTTAGAGGTGGAATAGCAATAATACTGTTTAAACTAATCCTGAGCTATAGTTCAGCTTGAGTGCTCAACGTTTCCTCGTGGTTCGGCCAGCTGGTTGCTTTTTTTAGTGCCAGATTGTCTGGCTTATAGTCTGAGGCTCACAATTGAAAATGTTTGCTTCAAAGTCAATAGAACATCCGGAAGTCGATGCAGGAGTGCAGAAACTGTCCAATTCCATGAATGTTTTTGAACTCTTGCGTTGCCTTCCAGTCGTCCACTAATTTTCACAAACTTGTTCTGTTTTCACACAAAAACTTCTGATGTCAAGTGCGCGAGGTGGAACGGAGGAGGATGACGTAAAGGAATCCAATTTACTGGTGTGATCAGTAATTTTGGAATTTCGTTTGTGTTGGGATGGCAACCACTGCTCGGTTTGCCCCCACCAAACTACGGCACTGCGTAGAGGAAAAACGTCACTTTGTTTATATTTGCTTTTCTCATTCCAAACACTTTTCTCGCAGAATACACACGTTGTTATTTGTAACCTAAAAAGTAGTTCGCGTTTCTTTCTCCTGGTCCATCCGAAATCCCATTAGGTTATGGGCCCAGGACATTTCGGTGCCGCGGAAAAAGTTTAATCGTCGTCGCGAAGATGGAGGAAGTGAAGAGTGATCGTTTTCTCGTTGCCTTGTTCGATGGGACAAATTACGCCGCGTGGAAGTTCCGCGTCCAAGTGCTTTTGGAGGAGCACGAGCTGTGGGACTGTGTGCAGACGGAGCTTGACGATTTGGTCGAGTTGGCAGAGCGAGACAACGATACTGCTGCACAGCGAACGGAGAAGAATGCGTTGCGCGAGAAGAGGAA